TTAAGATCCCTCTTTGCCTTTGGTGCTTTGTAGTTTTCTCTCCTTCGTCTTCACAAATCTATAGACTTCACCAATTCTGGGAAATTTTAGTCTTTATCATTCCTAATAATAAATCTGTCCCATTCTCTCTTTTCTTCTTACAGAACATTAAGTCAACATACACTAGACATTTCCCCTTGGTGTCCCATGTTCTAGTCTCTATTTCCCATCATTTTCTCTGTGTTTCATTCTGGGTAATTCCTTCTGACCTGTTTTCTGGTTCACTGATTTTCACTTCACTGTATATATTTTTTATTAAACCCATACACACTGAATTATTGTTATTATTGAGAGAGGGTCTTGTTCTGTCACCCAGGCTGGAGTGCACTGGCACAATAATGGCTTGACCTCATGGGCTCAAGTGATCCTCCCACCTTAGCCTCCCAAGCAGCTGGGACTACGGGTGTGCAACCACCACATTCGGCTAATTTTTAAAATGCTTTGTAGACACAAATTCTTACCATGTTGCCCAGGTTGGTCTTGAACTTCTGAGCTCAAGTGATCTCCCTGCCTCTGCCTCCCAAAGTATTGGGATTATAGGCATGAGCCACCACACCTGGCCTGAATTCATAGTGGATGTTTTATTCTTTATTTCTAGAAGTTCTATTTGGTCCTTTTTCAAGTTTTCTAGATCACCTTTTTTTTCGTTTGTTTTGTTTTTAAGTGGACATGGGGTTTCACCATGTAGGCCAGGCTGGTCTCAAACTCCTGACCTCGTGATCCACCTGCCTCAGCCTCCCCAAAGTGCTAGGATTACAGGTGTGAGCCATTACACCCAGCCCCTAGATCACCTTTGATTGTTTCCTACAAATATTTTTATGTTGTTAAATATTCATTTCTTTAAAAATAAGAAGGACAGGCCGGGTACGGTGGCTCACGGCTGTAATTCCAGCACTTTGGGAAGCCAAAGTGGGCAGATGGCTTGAGGCCAGGAATTTGAGACTAGCCTGGGCAACATGGCAAAGGATCACTTGAGCCCAGGAGATGGAGGATGCAGTGAGCCAAGATCACGCCACTGTACTCCAAACCCAGGCGACAGAGTAAGACCCTCTCACAAACAAAAAAAGCACACTTTTTTAATAGTCTGTTTCTAACAATCCCAATATCTGAAGTCTTTGAGGAATTGTTTCCACTGGTTTTTCTGTTTTTGTTTTCTGGGAGTTTTTTTTTGAGACAAGGTTTCACTTTGTCAGCTGGGCTGGAGTGCAGTGGTACAATCACAGCTCATGGCAGCCTCAAACTCAGGGGACTCAAGCAATCCTCCGGTCTCAGCCACCCAAGCAGCTAGGACCACAGGGACACACCACCACTCCTGGCTAATTTTTTACTTTTTGGGGAGATGGGGGCTCCTTTTGTTGCCTAAGGTAATCTTGAACTCCTGAACTCAAACAATCCTCCCACCCCAGCCTCCCAATATGCCAATATGCTAGGATTACAGGCATAAGCCACCACACTGAACTGTCTGTACTGGTTTTAACTCAGGGTGGCTTATTGTCTTGCGTGCTTAGTCATTTTTGTCTGTGTACTATTAATCACTGTCCTTAATATCTGCAGGTTAGGCCAGGCGTGGTGGCTTATGCCTATAATCCAAGCACTTTGGAGGCCAAGGCGGGTGGATCACCTGAGGTCGGGAGTTCAAGACGAGCCTGACCAACACGGTGAAACCCCGTCTCTACTAAAAACACAAAAATTAGCCAGGCACACGCCTACAGTCCCAGTTACTTGGGAGGCTGAGGTAGGAGAATCACTTGAACCTGGGAGGCAGAAGTTGCAGTGAACTGGGATTATGCCACTGCACTCCAGCCTGGGCTATAGAGCAAGACTCCATCTCAAAAAATCTGCAGGGATTCTTTGTATCTTAGGATGAAGGTAACTTCTTCTAGAGAGGTTTCACCTTTGTTCCTGTCAGATGACTAAAGGCATTACCAAGCCAGAAACACCTTGAATTAAATTCATGTTCAATTTCCCTGAACTACCAAGCAATGTAACCTGGGCTAAAAATCCTCAGAAAGGCCAATAAATAGCCACAATTCTCAGAAACAGATTTTTTCCCTTTTCATCTTTTTGTGTTACATTTAGTAAAAAGACAGCCAGGTGGGATCAAGGGATGGTGTCAGGGCCCACTAGACTAGGGCACACGTGCCCCTCGTCTGCCCTCACACCTTGAGGATACAGCGTTCAGAGTTCCAAGAATGGGGGGTCTCCTTTAGGTTATCTGCCTTGAGATGGATCAAGCTTAACGACTGTTTTTTTCACCCAAAAATCCCCTAAAATCAAAGCCCCACTTTGTCCAGATCAGCAGATGCCCTCAAGGCAAAAGCAGATTCCATCCTATGGTGCTTAAATTGCCTTTCTCCGTTACTTTCAGTTAGATTTTTATCTGAAAGTTTTTGTTTTTTTTGTCAGTTCTTGTATTTATTTTTTTAATCTAACAATTGTGGTGGTTTTTCTGGGGTAAGTAGAAGGTAGTCTAAACAACCTAGTCTAACATTCTTAGAAACATAAAACCTTCCCATTTTTCTTGCAAAATTTATTGGACACATCTTTTTTTTTTTTTTGAGATGGAGTCTTGCTCTGTCACCCAGGCTGGAGGCAGAGGCGTGATCTTGGCTCACCGCAACCTCCACCTCCTGGGTTTAAGCAATTCTCTTGCCTCAGCCTCCCAAGTAGCTGGGATTACAGGTGCACACCACAACGCCCCCCTAATTTTTTGTATTTTTAGTATAGACCAGGGCTTCACACTGTTAGCCAGGATGGTCTCAAACTCCCGACCTCGTGATGCACCCACCTTCGCCTCCCAAAGTGCTGGGTTTACAGGCATGAGCCACCGCACCCAGCTTGATATGCAATTCTACAATGAAATTTATATTCTCTCATTGCTTTGAGGAATTATTCTACTGGCTTCTGTTGGCTTATATCTGCTGTCAACCTAGCTAATATTCCGTTTTAGGTCATCTATCTTTTACCTTCAACTTAATACCTTCTTTTTGTCTTTGGTGCTATACAATTTCAGCGTATGGGTGTGGGATTGTTTTTTTCTAAAAATACTGATTGGGACATATTGTGCTCCCTAAACCTATGGATTTATGTCTTTTATTAGTTTCTGAAATTTCAAAGCTATTAATATTTTGAATAATACCTCTCTTCAATTTTCCTGATTTTTCCACTCTAGAATTCCAACTACATATTTACTACCATCAACAATCACTGATCTCTTGGGGCTGCACTTTGGATAATGTCTTCCTCTGTGTTTCACTTTACTAACTCCATCTTCATCTGTGTTTAATCTGTTTAAGCCATATACTCAGTTTTGGTGGTGGTGCTTTTGTTCCTCCGCCTCCGGGGTTCAAGCCATTCTCCTGCCTCAGCCTCCCAAGTAGCTGGGATTACAGCTGGCTAATTTTTTTTTTGTATTTTTAGTAGAGACAGGGTTTCACCATGTTGGCCAGGCTGATCTTGAATTCCTGCCCTCAGGTGATCCACCCGCCTCAGCCTCCCAAAGTGCTGGGATTACAGGAATGAGCCACTGCGCCCAGTTGGTGTGTTTTTTTGTGTGTGAGACAGGGTGTGGCTCTGTCACCCAGGCTGGAGGGCAGTGGCACGATCTTGGCTCACTACAACCTCCACCTTTTGGACTCAAGCCATCCGTCCACCCAGCTGGGTTATCTTAATTTTTAATGCACTAAAGTGCTCACAGAAATTATATCTGGCCGCCAGGCAGGGTGGCTCACACCTGTAATCCCAGCACTTTGGGAGGCCGAGGCGGGTGGATCACTAGGTCAAGAGATCGAGGCCATCCTGGTCAACATGGTGAAACCCCATCTCTACTTAAAATACAAAAAATTAGCTGGGCATGGTGGCGCGTGCCTGTAATTCCAGCTACTCAGGAGGTTGAGGCAGGAGAATTGCCTGAACCCAGGAGGCAGAGGTTGCGGTGAGCCGAGATTGCGCCATTGCACTCCAGCGTGGGTAACAAGAGTGAAACTCTGTCTCAAAAAATAAAAATAAAAACAAAATTAGCCGGGCATGGTGGCACACACCTGTAATCTCAGCTATTTGGGAGGCTGATGAAGGAGAATTACTAGAACCCAGGAGGCAGAGGTTGTGGTAAGCCGAGGTTGTGGTAAGTCGAGATCATGCCACTGCACTCCAGCCTGGGCCACAGAGTGAGACTGTGTCTCAAAAAAATAAATAAAATAATATCTGGCCAAGCATGGTAACTCACACCTATAATGTCAGCACTTTGGGAGGCCAAGGTGGGAGGATCACTGGAGCCTAGGAGTTCAAGACCAGTCTTGGTAACACAATGAAACTCCACCTCTAAAAAAATTTTTTTAATTAGCCATGGTGGTGTATGCCTGTAGCCCCAGCTTCCCAGGAGACTGAAGTGGGAGGATCCTTTTGGCCTAGGTACACATGGTTGTGGTGAGCTACGATCACACCACTAGACTCCAGCCTGGGTGACAAAGTGAGACCTTGTCTCCAGAAAAAATAAAAAGTAAAGAAATTATATTTATTGTAATTGATTCAGCATCTAACTGAACTGCAATGGGAGAGCCTTGTAAGAGCATCTAATATTGCTGGAAGTGGAGGTCCTTGCCTCCTTTTTCATTTTCTACATAACTGTGTGCCTTGAATGACAACTGTGACAGTGTATATGCTGTATCTCAGATGTTCCCTGCAAGTGAGGGAGAACATATACCTCATTACACATGTGCAAGACTGTCTACATTTTGTAAGAATTAAACTTTGGCTTGGAGAGACCAAGTAACTTGCTTCAAAGACACACAGAGCACCTCATAACCAGACACAGGAGGATCAAAAACTACCAAAGACAGCAGACCACAGGCACATCTTCTAAACTACATTTTTTGCTGTCACCCAACTTTGAACTTCCACCTATACAGTACTTTTGTATAAATTACACAATAAAACAGAATCAGACTGAAAAAGAAACTTACCTTCTGTGGAAACCTCGTTTAAATCATGTATTCAGGCAAAATAGAAAAACATTTGTGGATTTTTTTCTTGGAGTATATGCAGCTTTAAGAAAAATTTTTTTCATTCAGTGGAAGATTTATAAACTCTTTACCTGAAATATAAGAGGAAAAATCTTATTTTAAGTTCTTCCTTTGTAAAGTTAACTTATCCAAATGGCAGGCAGAAGGAAAAGGAGGCTGGGCATAGTGGCTCACGCCTGTAATCCCAACACTTTGGGAGGCCACGGTGGCAGATCACTTCAGTCCAAGAGTTCAAGATCAGCTTGGGCAACATGGAAAAATCCCATTTCTACCAAAAAATACAGAAATTAGCCGGGTATGGTGGCGTACACCTGTATTCTCAGCTACTTCAGAGGCTGAGGTGGGATCGCCTGAGCCGAAAGGCAGAGATTGCAGTGAGCTGAGATCATGCCACTATACTCCAGCCTGGATGACCAGAGACTAAACCCATCTCAAAAAAATAGTAATTATTATAAATTTTTTAAAATAAAGCAATGGAAGAGCATTTATCATCTGTCCCTTGAATATAAAGTTTCTCTTTGATTTCATAATTAACTAGCAAACATGACACTTAAAACTATATATTTTTTCATAAAAATACACACACACACACACACACACACACACACACACACATTTGTTTTTGTTTTTTTGAGACGGGGTCTTGCTCTGTCGCCCAGGCTGCAGTGCAGTGGTGCGATCTCAGCTTACTACAACCTCCGCCTCCTGGGTTCAAGCAATTCTCTGCCTCAGCCTCCTGAGTAGCTGGGACTACAAGTGCCTGCCACCACGCCTGGCTAATTTTTTGAATTTTTAGTAGAGATGGAGTTTCACCATGTTAGCCAGGATGGTCTCAATCTCCTGACCTCATGATCTGCCTGCCTTGGCCTCCCAAAGAGCTGGGATTACAGGCATGCACCACCGCGCCCAGCCAAAATGATGTATTAAGATATATACATATATATAAATTTTTTTTAAAGAAGATAGTCTGTTCAGTGAGGATGTGTGTATTTTCATAAAAATTTAAATAAAATAAAGAAGGTGGTCTCGCTATGTTGCCCAGGGTGGAGAGCAGCAGCTATGCACAGCTCCAATGCCACTAATAATCAACATGGGAGTTTCTGATGTGCTCCATTTCCAACCTGAGCTGGTTCACCCCTCCTTCAGCAACTTGGCAGTCTTCCACTTCTGGGAGGTCACCGAACTGATGGCAAACTTAGTGTAGACACCATTACAGCCCTCAAGTGACCCTCCTGCCTCAGCCTGCTGAGTAGCAGGTATTACAGACATAAACCACTCTGCCTGGCTATAACTTAAAAATTCCATTTTATAGTTTTCCTAGTCCCAGGTGAAATAATGTATTCAATAATTTTGGGGATGGGTGAAGTATTATGTTTAATTTGAGTTGTCAGGTATGAAGTCCTTCAGAAAATAAAATTTCTGTTTTAAAAGAGGTCTGATTTTTAGCTCTTGAACCCATTGTCATTTAAATGTCCAATAATAATTAAAATTATTTTAAAATTACAATTGCCAATACCCTGACCTTTAAAAAGGGTTTCTTAGAAATAGGTCCTACATTAAAAAAAAATTTTTAATTACATATAATTCTGTACACTGTTAGTATCTGAAAAGCATTTTGAGAGATCAATGAAAAGCTAAACATTCCAAATTTAACATGAATACACTTCTTTTTGATTTAGAAAATAAAACATTTCAAAGTAAAAAAAAAAGTATTGCTCACTGTTGAAGTTGGGTGATGAGTACAAAGATGTTATGCTTTTTCTACTTTTGCATATTTTTACATTTCATATAAAAATCAAACAAATGGCGGGACATGGTGGCTCACAACTATAATCCCAGCACTTTGGGAAGCCAAGGCAGGAGGATCACTTAAGTGCAGGCGTTTAAGACCACCTGGGCAACACAGCAAGACCTCGTCTCTCCTAAAAAAATTTTTTTTAATTAGCTGAGCGTGGTGGCATGCACCTGTAGTCCCAGCTACTTGGGAGGCTGAATGGGAGGATTGTTTCAGCCCAGGAGTTCAAAGCTGCAGTGAAAGGCCAAGCACAGTGGCTCACACCTGTAATCCCACCACTTTGGGAGGCTGAGGTGGGCGGATCACTTGAGGTCAGGAGTTCGAGACCAGCTTGGCCAACATGGTGAAACCACAAAAAATTAGCTGGGCACACGCCTGTAATCCTAGATACTCAGGGGACTGAGGCAGGAGAATTGCTTGAACCCTGGAGGCAGAGGTTGCAGTGAGCCAAGACTGCACCACTGCACTCCAGCCTGGGCGACAGAGTGAGACTCCAACTCAAAAAATAAAATAAAACAAAATAAAAGGCTGTAGCGAGCCAGGATCACACCACTGTACTGCAGCCTGGGCGACAGAGTGAGGCGCCATCTCTAAAAAAATTAAAATCAAACAAAAAAGATATTCGAAATGGTGCCAGTAACCCAGGGATAAGTCAGTGTTATCTTCTACTACAGGTAATACTTTTTCTATCTTACATTTCCTGATTAAAATTATTATTTATTGGGGCCGGGCGCGGTGGCTCAAGCCTGTAATCCCAGCACTTTGGGAGGCCGAGGCGGGTGGATCACGAGGTCAACAGATCGAGACCATCCTGGTCAACATGGTGAAACCCCGTCTCTACTAAAACTACAAAAAATTAGCTGGGCATGGTGGCACGTGCCTGTAATCCCAGCTACTCAGGAGGCTGAGGCAGGAGAATTGCCTGAACCCAGGAGGCGAAGGTTGCAGTGAGCCGAGATCGCGCCATTGCACTCCAGCCTGGGTAACAAGAGCGAAACTCCGTCTCAAAAAAAATATATATATATATATTATTTATTTATTTGAGACAGAGTCTCACTCTGCAGTGCAGTGCTGTGATCTCGGCTCACTGCAACCTCTGCCTCCCGGGTACTGGTTCAAGCAATTCTCCTGCCTCAGCCTCCTGAGTAGATGGGATTATAGGCACATGCCACCATGCCCAACTAATTTTTGTATTTTTAGTAGCGATGGGGTTTCACCATATTGGTCAGGCTGGTCTTGAACTCCTGACCTCATGATCCGCCTGTCTCGGCCTCCCAAAGTGCTGGGATTACAGGCGTCAGCCACACCTGGCCAATTAAAATTATTAAGCTAAATAACTCAAAATGGACTGTTCAGCCCACTTTTCTAAAACTTTATACACAGTTTCAAAATAATGTTTTTATGATGTTGACCTTGGGACTGTTTATTCTAATCTTAAGTCAATGATTTCATAACATACATCTTCTTAACAAATTCTACTCAGTGTCAGCTGGAGGAGGAACGGGTGGGTGTGTGTGTCCCTAAACAGCACCAGCATTAGCCAGGTGTGGTGGTGCATGCCTGCAGTCTCAGCTACTAAGCACTGAAGTGGGAAGATTCCTTCAGCCTAGGTGTACATGGTGGTGGCGAGCTATGATCACACTAATGCACTCCAGCCTGGGTGACAAGGTGAGATCTTGTCTCCAAAAAAACAAAAAATAAAGAAATTATATTTATTGTAATTTATCCGGCATCTAATTACACTGGAATGGGACAGCCCAGTAACAGCATAATATTGCTGGAAGCAACGGTCCTTCCCTCCCTTCATCTACTTAACTGTGTGCCTTGAATGGCACCTGTGACAGCCAAGGAGAGGGACGGGCGGCTCCAGGCCCACTTCCTCACAGACACACCCTAGGCGTCCACCACCATCCTCCGCTCTCCACTCTCCTGGCAACAACACAGCCTCCCACTCTCGCATTGCAGGGTAGAAGCCTGCTTTCGCCAAGACTCTGTCTCAGGAGGGAAAGTCTTCGATCGCTTTCTTCTTAGCACATAGCTCTTGATTTTTCCAGGGAAACTTCTTCCAAGTCCTATCCCCAACAACTTCCCTAAATACGCCAAATTCTTTGATGTCGACCCAGGAAAAAGCTGCCTCTGCTCTGCTATCCAGGCATCCCCACCAGAAAGTGGGTCAGCATTCTGCCAGGTTCCCATGAATACTTCTACACAAACTTCAGCTTTCATTTAAAAAACCTGTTTTTTATACTTTTGCTTATGGCCAAAATGGAACAACAGACCAGATTTACCTTCCCATCTTCAACAACTGAAAAAAAAAAAAAAAAAA